TAATCAGTTGCTTTGCAGCACTGTAAAAGCAACAAAAGAGTCAACTTTATTGCAAAATAGAAAAGAATAAATAGAATCAATTATTTAATGGAATCAAAGAACCAAGAAAAAAAAGAATGTATTATGCTTTTGAAAAAAAAACACAAAAACAAATGTCAAGAATATATATATATATATATATATATGTATACATAAAGATGTTTAAAGATGTTTCTGCGTGAAAATCCCAGTAGATCATCAGTTTCTGAAATACTCAGACCAGCCCGTCTGGCACCAACAACTATGCATGCCCATTCAAAGTCACTTAAATCCCCTTTCTTCCCCATTCCGATGCTCAGTTTGATCTGCAGCAGATCATCTTGACCATGTCTACATGCCTAAATGCATTGAGTTGCTGCCATGTGATTGGCTGATTAGAAATGTGAGTTAACAAGAAGTTGGACAGGTGTACCTAATAAAGTGGCCGATGAGTGTATATTAGCATATCATCGTTATGAGATCACATTTATTTTACACAACACAATCTTCAATCTAAACAAATCATTTTTTTTTTTTATTTAGCATTTATATTTACCTGAACTTTCCCATAAAAATACATTTCTAGCAATAAATATTAAGCCTGTCAGCCATTCACAAATGTTTTCATTTTCTCCTGCCACTTTCATTTATTAAATATTTCAGCCAATTTGATAACGCTTTCAGATTCCAATAAACTGCACCGTACTCTGAGCTCTTTCCCACTTCATTGTTTTTAATTGCGCATTTATGTAAGCAGTGCAGCTTTCTAGGTTTAACTGACAAACACTTTATTGTTATTTAGAGAATTATGAGCAATAAACATTTAATACCTTCCAAGGCATCTGCTTAATCGCGTTTAATGTGTCCAGCATGTTTTGTGATCAGGCTTGATTATTTCTTCATTTGCTGTGTGTGTGTGTGCATGCGTGTGTGTGTGTGAGTGACAAACAGTGGCTTCTGTGTGTGTTATCTGGCAGTGATTCTTATGAGAAGTGAGACAGTCTTTCACTGAAAGATCCACCACCTGCAGTCTCAGCTGTATGGTGATGAGACACACACACACACACACACACACACTCTTGCATACTCACACATAAGCTCTCTCACACATGCACGCAATCAACACACATTTTGCTTCCTCACGCACATTGTCTTCTTATCTCGCCCTCAGAAAAGTGAGACAAGAAGTGAGAAGAAAGGTGTTTCTTTCTAATTAGGCTTGCATGCATTATCTCATATTTGGTCGCTCTTAACTCTTGACTGTTTTTAATTCATTGCTTGATATGGCGGCCGACATGTACACATGCAAACAGTCCCCCGGGACTGATTTAGAGAGAGTTATGGTTGTGTTTCTTTGACCTCTCACCTTAGAGCAAGGTGCTGAGTTGCAAGTGTGGAGTGTTTTTTGACCTTAATAAAGGTGCACACACAGTATTTACTCAGCCTTCAGCCTCGTCACAGTTAACATGGAAGAGTCTCCGAAATGTGGCTTATGTTCTGGCAGGTTATGAATGTTCTTCCAGTGTGAGTTTTGAAAATGTTAGCATTAAAGTGTTCTTTATACGTCATTCATTCATTATTTACTTTTATTTGTTAAATGTATCTTACACTTAACCTTCTGGCATGACTTTTTGTTTTAGGAGAATGTATTTTTTTGTGATTTTTGGGTGCTTGGGGGTCCTTTATAAATAAATAAATCAATCAATCAATCATAAAATGTGCTCCCCCCTAACCCCCACACAACATTTTGCTTTGATTTTGCCTGAGGGCAACAACGTGCTATTAGGGCACTAAAACACCAAGGTTTTCAGTATAATATTATATGTGAAAATGAGGTACAAACAAGCCATAAATACATTAGAACAAGTTTTATTTATTCATTCATTTTCTTTTAGGCTGAGTCCCTTATTATTCAGGGGTTGCCACAGAGGAATGAACTGCCAACCTATCCAGCATGTTTTATGCAGCGGATGCCCTTCCAGGTGCAACCCAACACTGGGAAACACCCATACACTCTTGCATTCACACACACACTCTACGGCCAATTTAGCTTATTCACTTCACCTATAGTGGGGTGACGCGGTGGCACAGTGGGTAGCGTTGTTGCCTCACAGCAAGAAAGTCGATGTTTTAAGCCTAGGCTGGGTTGCATCTCTATGTGGAGTTGGCATGTTCTCCCTGTATTCACGTGGGTTTCCTCCCGGTGCTCCAGTTTCCCCCACAGTCCAAAGACGTGCACTATAGGAGAATTGAATGAGCTAAATTGGCCGTAGTTTATGATTGTGAATGCAAGAGTGTATGAGTGTTTCCCAGTGTTGGGTCGCGGCTGCAAGGGCATTCACTGCATAAAACAAATGCTGGATAAGTTGGCAGTTCATTCCGCTGTGGCGACCCCAGACTAATTAAGGGACTAAGCTGAAAAGAAAATAAATGGAAGAATTCACCTATAGTGCTTGTCTTTGGACTGTGGGGGACTGTGGGGAAACACCTGAACACGGGGAGAACATGCAAACTCCACACAGAAATGCCAACTGACCCAGCTGGGGCTCGAACCAACAATCTTCTTGCTGTGAGGCGATCATTCTACCCACTGTGCCACCATGACACCAGAGCAAGTTGTAATATTTAAGTAATATTTTATCAAAAACTAGCCAAAAATGGTGTATTGTGCGGATTGAATGTACTTATTTACCAATGTTTATTATTCACTACAAAGGTGGGTGTTACATTTTTGTTACCTGGCTTTAGGTCATGGGTGCCCAGATTCGGACCTAGTGGGTGGTGTCCTGCAGAGTATAGCTCTAACCCCAATTAAACAAACCTGAACCAGCTACTTAAGCTTTAACTAGCATAAACATATTGGCAGGTTGGCAACAAAACTCTGGACAGAGTTTGGGCACCCTCCTTTAGATGATAGAACCTTTAGATGTTCCAAACCTGCACAACTCTTTCCTACTTTTATAATATACACCCACCAACACACACTTTAAAAATGTAAAAACACAGACACTGTAAAACACACAATAACAATTACAGCTTTACACCCACAGACATGAAAACACACAGGGCACACACACACAGCTACCTTTAGTAACACTTATAAAATTATAAAATCATAGATGTACTGATTTTATACTATACAAAGCGTATATTCGATCCCCCTACCCCAAGCTTACAACTAAAGCCATCTCTCAAAGGAACCAATCTGCAATTTTACATTTTCATAATAATTAATTCTGTGTGATTTATGAGACTTTTTTTTTCATAAGGGCCTAATGATGTACTGTTATTGCTATATTTGTGTGGACATTTGGTCCCCACAATGTGAGGAATACAAGCAAACACAATCACTGATTATTATTATTTCTTTATTCATTTATGTTTGTTTTTTGCTTGTTTAATTTGTCCCCAGGTTCAGAAAGATGAATACATAAATATATTATAAGCTAAACAATATATGATTAGGGCTGTCACAGTGGCGCAGTGTGTAGCACGATCGCCTCACAGCAAGAAGGTCGAGCCCCAGCTTGGTCAGTTGCCATTTCTGTGTGGAGTTTGCATGTTCTCCCCATGTTCGGGGTTCCTCCGGGTGCTTCGGTTATCCACCACACTCCAAAAATGGGCACTATAGGTGAACTGAATTTACTTAATTGACCGTAGTGTATAATTGAATGCAAGAGTTCGTGGGTTCTTCCTAGTGTCGGGTTGCGGCTGGAAGGGCATCAGCTATGTAAAACATATGCTGGATATGTTGGCAGTTCATTCCGCTGTGGCAACCCCTGATTAAAAAAGGGACTAAGCCAAAAAGAAAATGAATGAATGAATGAACATGACATATAAGTAGCTTTGTTTTAAGAAAAAAAAATATTATTAGAATTAAGAACATTGGTCAGTGCCAATAGCCTAAGTGTGCTGACATATAGGACTATGGTGCTTACAGCGACCTGAGTTTGATTCACTGCTCAAGGTCCTTTGCCACCCTTCCTCTCTCTCTGCTCCTTTCCAATTTAAAAAGGTGGGAAACCCCTTAAAAAAAGAAATAATTACATCCAAAAGTGATCAGTTATTACATAAATTATGCAGATTATAATAATAATATTCATGCAATCCATCATGAAGATTGTGTTAAAAGTAATAATTCTTGATATGGCAAAAAAAATAAAAGTATTTTTACTTTCAGCTGAACTCTCCCTTTATACATTTCCAGCAATCTTTTTTTTTTTTTTGTAACGTGTCAGGCATTCACAGATTTTTGCATATTCTCCTGCACTTTTATTTATAAAATATATCAGCCAATTTGATAACGCTTTCAGCTCCCAATAAAACTGTACCGTACTCTCAGCTCCCTTTATATAATATATCATATTTGCAATATTATTATATTTCAATTCCACAAACTTTCTCCACCAAAATCAGTACAGAAACTGGATGTAAGAGAGGGAGGGAGGGAGAGTGAGAGAGAAAGAGAGGAAAAAAACCTCAGCACATTCAGTCTGGGCCTGCTCATTATTCACCTTCTCTTATCGTCTGTTTCTTACAGTATACATTAATTTAGGCAGCCAGAATGAGGTTGGAATCTCGAAGGCTGGTATCAGGTCATTTCGTGTGCCTTGAGTGTTGTGTAATTAAATGTTTGATGTGTTTGTGTGTGTTTTCTTTCTACACAGCCCCCCATAAGCACAGGAAGCTCTGGGTGGGCTATACGACCTAGTTTTTTATTTTCAAACAAACACACTCTGAACATCATACATCATCACAATGATGCTCATGGAATATACATGAATATGCATGTTGCTAAAGCTTTGTGTTGTGTTGTTAATGAGATCACACTCCATCTAATGAAGCCAATGGGATGTCCTGGAATAGATGCACTGTGTGTGTTGTCTTTTGATGAGTTAATGAATGATGATGAGATTTTCATTGCTCTAGGCTCAGATCCCCTTTGGTCTTCTGTTATCAAATAGTGTTTAAAATTCGCCACACACACAAAAACAAGTGGATTTCATGCTAAAACGCCGTTGTAAGATTTTCAATGCCAACAAAATCTATTGTAAATCGTCACCCCTCGACGCGCGCGCGCGCGCACGCACGTGTGTGTACGGGCTGCATCCTGCATATCTTTGTTCGCGTCTGCATCTGATATGTGTTGAGATCAACTTGCGCTCCGACTCCTCTGCCTGCGCGCGACCCTAAAGACCACCTGCACCTGAGTCTGGAGGAGAGTATTTTTAACAGCAGGGGTGCGAGCGCGGCGCTCCAAAAGCTCCCAGACCTCATCACTTATATTGGGTTATGCGCGTGGACTCGTCGGCTTTTTGAGAAGCGTACAGACCGCACTCGTCTTTTTTTGTCGGAGTTACTGGGTCTTGGACTCTCACTCGGGCGGATAGAGAGACGGATCTCCACCGGGATCTCCTCGCACCGCGACTGTACCTGGAGAATCCGGTAAGAGCTCGCGCCGCTACACGGTGAAGCGAGGTCGTCCGGTTCTGTGGTCAAGTGTGTCAGTGTGTGCGTGTGTGTGTTTGTGTCACTGTGTATGTGTGTGCGCGCGCGCGCCCCGTCATATTCGTTAAAAGACCAACTATTGTTAGGAAGACTGTTGAAAAGAAATGTCCAGGATTTCACAGTGCTTTCACAGAACACGTCGTTATTCAGCCGTAAATGTGCAGACCGCTCTTAAATTGAATTATTTATTAGATTTGTAAGCTCTAGCGAACATTTTTAGGACAGGATGAACTCATTAAAAGTCTTAAAGTTTTGGTGCTTTTCGTGCAAACTTGCAATGCCTGGAGGCTGTTAGTAACCAGACTGTAAAATATATTTGTCGTGGAATAATTGGTATAGTAAAACGTCAAGTTATACTCTAGAAGGCAGTAAAATATTATATTTTATTGTCATCAAGACATTTTATTACATTCTTAAAATACAATGCAATACAGTGCAAATATTGCAGCACTAAAATATTAAAATGACTAAAATAATAAAACTACAGTTATATGCAGAATTTTTAGACTATACTGGACAGTGCATGCAATGTTGCATTGTAAGAAGTGCCATTCTACAAATAAATTTTATTTACTAGCTAAAAAAGTAGTAATAAAACTTTAAAAAGACATTTGCCTTATGGATTATACATTTTAAAAATAATATTTTGAATAAATGAATTCTTAATTAATTGAAAGGCGAGTTCACATAACGCCACGTAGGAATATTAGAAGTTCCATTTTTATGTTGTTTAGTCAATTATAGTGTCATGTTTGTCACCCTGATGTTATCTTTGTGTGACCACAGTCACTGGAGAATGCACAGATAAATGTATCTCTGGGTCATCTTGTGACATCTATGTCATGATATAACTAGTTATCAGCACACTTTATAGTAACGCAAAACATAGATAGGAATATATATTGCCACCAAAATGCAACTCTGAAAACACTCACATTATCTTTTACAGTACAATTCTGAGAACTGCCTGTTTTTTTAGAAACAGTAACAAAAAAATGTTATGAAACTCAACGTGAGTTGCTTTTGCTTTCCATTTCCCCATTCTTTTAAATGACATGAAATAATGTCACAGAGATTCTCTTCTGCATTTTGCATTTTTATGTTGTGTCAGTTTGCGACTCCTCATGCCTGTGCATGTATAGGGATGCACTTGAGAAGCAGAGGTCACTTTACTGAGAGACAAGAGGCTTGCATAAGCAGTTTTTTATATCTGTTCAGCCCTGTCATATTTTGACATTTTCTCAAAAGACTTGCGTAAAGTGCTGACTTCTTCCCCGCTCCTCTAATGTACACTGAAAAGACAGCCTGGTTTGAATATCCAGCCTCTTCCTTTCACAACTCCGACACAGAACGGTCACGTTACTCAAAAAGTAAGAGTAAAACAAAACGCAAGGCATCAATAGCGTTAGAATAGAAGCTCTATATGCACTTTTTTCCTTCTGTTTTAGCGCCTGTAGATATAGGCGAAGTGAAAATGAGAGAGAGAGAGATCGAGATGAGCTGTTTCTCCCTCGTGCTGTGAGGATGACTTAGTGTCTCTCACCTTCATCCTGACACCTCATCTATTATCATTAGGCACACAGTCAAACAACTCTCTCAAGATGTGGGTGTGAAAGTGTGTGTACCAATGTGAGAGAGAAGATGAGTGTGAAAAAGAAGAGAGAAGCAGGAAGTGGAATCTTAAAAATCTCCTCTTTCTGAGTCCGGAGCGACAGGCCTGGGTTACAGTCGTGACCTGCTCTATATTCCCTCAAACATACATGCGCAGCTCTTTCACAGCATTTGCTGGTTAGTGCAGTGACTTGACGTGACCTCTTGACCTGTCAGGCAGTTGATCCCTGAATGATTTTATCTCCCGTAGTAGTTCTGTAACGTGATAGTGAGGCATTATGTAGTGTTTCAGAACCTTTTTTTTTGTACTGTTTCATTGATGGGGAGTGTGATTAGAAATGTGACCCTTTTCTGCACACATTAATGATTGTCTGTACAAAATAGTTTGAAATGGACGTTGAAATTGTAACTTTTAGCAGTCATTACTTGTCTTAAGTGTCACACGATACTTCGGAAACCATAGCTGATTTGGTGTTCAAGAAACATTCATTTTATTTTTTGACTTAGTCCATTTATTAATCAGGGGTCGCCACAGCGGAATCAACTTATCCAGCATATGTTTTATGCAGCGGATGCAATTACTGCCACAACACAGCACTGGGGAACATCCATACACTCCTGCACTCACACACATACACTACGGCCAATTTAGCTTATTCAATTCACCTGTACCGCATGTCTTTGAACTTTGTGGGAAACCGGAGCACCCGGAGGTAACCCACGCTAACACAGGGAGAACATACAAACTCCACACAGGAATGCCAACTGACCCAGTCGGGATTCAAACCAGCGAACTTCTTGCTGTGAGGCGATCGTGCTACCCACTGAGCCACCTTGACACCTTTCCAAGAAACGATTTATTATTATTATTAATTAGTCAAAAATAATCATGCTGCTTAATATTTTTGTAAATTCTTTAAAGAACGGTATTTTGTTTGCCTTGCTTGTTGTTTCTAATATTTAATGAAATAACTTAATTTTAAATTAAATTATTAAATTAAATTAATTAAATATAAACATCAAATTATTCCACTCCAATATTATCCATTCCAAAAAAGTATTATTATTATAATTATTAATATTACTATCGTGCTTAGTCATGGGCCGGTATAAGATTGTAAAGGTATGATAAACTTGGATAAAAATACCACGGTTTCACAATGTTGTGATTAATGCTCCAAAATATATTCTTTTTAAATGTCTGGGTAAAAAAAACTTTTTTCTGCTTTGAACACTATGGCTGCATCTGAACTTGCATACTTCCATACTATATAGTACACTAAAGTTAGTATGTGAGCCGAGTAGTATGTCCGAATTCATAGAATTTGAAAAACAGTATGGGAGAAGTACCCGGATGACCTACTTCCGGCAAGATTCTGAAGTGCGCCTCCGATGGATGCTTTGCTATCCCATGATACACCATGAGAGATCGGTCGAGTAGTACATTCAAATTCAAATGCAGTGCGTACTGAGTAGTAAGCAATTTTGGACGCAGCCAATATATTTTATTTTGAGAAACTTTTAAAATATTTTGGAGCAGTAAACATGTCAGGCTATATCATTTAAATGAATCATTGACTTCTGCTGTCTTCATTAGTTAAAAAAAAACACTGATTTCTTTACAATTTAAAACTAACAAAAAATAAAAACGTAAAAAAGTATCTTACATATACTGTAGAAATGGTATAACAGAAAATTTTGGCGGTTTTAAAACCTTGGACTTTTCCAAACCATGGTATACCTTGAAAATGGTTATCGTCCCATGCCTAGTCATGCTGCTTTCTATTTTTGTGAATTCTCTATAAAACAGTTTTTTGTTTGCCTTGCTTGTTGTTTCCAATAGTCATTTGAATAAATACATTATATTTTCCCATTCCCATCCATTTTCCATTTCATTTTAATTTTCATTCATATTATTTATTCTTATTAATATTATTAATGAGCCCAAACCTTTTATCGGAAGTTTACAATAAAAAAAAAAATGTAAATAAATTCTGTTCTTAGTAGTAATCCAAGAATCCATAAACTAACAACAGTTTTCAACATTGATAATAAAAATGCATAATAGCAAAATTAACATGATATGGTAATACCATTTCTGTGTTTTTCAATGGACTTCTAAAACATAATGTGAAACTGAAGACTGGAGTGATAATGCTGTACTCATTTTATCACATGACTATACTTATATACAGTTGTAGTCAGAATTATTAGACCCACTTTAAATTATTATTATATATATTTTTTCATTTTTAAATATTTCCCAAATAATGTTTAACAGAGCAAGGAAATTTTCACAGTATGTCTGATAATATTTTTTCTTCTGGAGAAAGTCTTATTTGTTTTATTTCGGCATAAAATAAAAGCAGGTTTTAATTTTTTAAATCACTTTTAAGGTCAAAATTGTTAGCCCCTTTGAGCTATATATTTTTTTTCGATTGTCCACAGAACAAACCATCGTTACACAATAACTTGCCTAATTACCCTAACCTGCCCAGTTACCCAATAAACCTAGTTAAGCCTTTAAATGTCACTTTAAGCTGTATGGAAGTGTCTTGAAAAATATCTTGTCAAATATTATGTACTGTCATCATGGCAAAGATAAAAGAAATATATTTTTTAATGAGTTATTAAAACTATTATGCTTAGAAATGTGTTGAAAAAATCTTCTCTACGTTAAACAGAAATTGGGGAAAAAATAAACAGGGGGGCTAATAATTCAGGGGGGCTAATAATTCTGACTTTAACTGTGTATTAGTTGACATTACACATTACATTAAAATGCTGCATTGTTATATATATATATATATATATATATATATATATATATATATATATATATATATATATATATATATAACTGTATATTTGAATTGTTTTTAGTTTATTTTTCTTTTAAAAAGAAACTGTAAACATCATCTATAAACATTGTTTATCATTATGTAAATCATGCCAAAATATATTTGCATTTAATAACATCATTTATTTTAAAGCCATAGTCCCTGTTTGAAAAATTTTACCAATCAAAGTCAAGATCTTAAAATGTTAGCAAAATCGTATCCTTGTATCCTCCTGGGAGTTCACGGCCCTGGTTAGGAATAGCTGCATTATATCAACTATGACAGAGCATCTGAAATTGCCAGAGTTCATGAAGGCTGCAGTTTTGATCTTTTGTCTGGAAAACAGTTGCATGATAATGAACCGTTGGTGTAATGCTGTCATTGTGGATGACTATATTCATCTCACTGTCTTTCTCTCTCTCTCTCTGTGTTTTCCAGATTGACTCAAATAGAACACAGAGGTAAGTGAGATCTTCATACTGGTATTTTTACAGCTTGGTAAAGCTAACAAGCAGGGTGACAGAGTGAGAATGAGAGGTGATAAGTGAAATGTGCCACATGGCAGAGATCAATCTTTACAGTTCGTGAACCTGAAACTCCATTAATCATGAGGCAAATTAACAGCCACAAATGAAATCTGAAATGGACTAAAATAAATGTCCGCACTTACATCTGTTTCAGATTTATTTTGTGTAACATTTTCCATACATTGGAATTACAAATGCATGTAAAGAATGCAATTATCATTTTTATAATGTTTATCTTGCTTGAACTTGCATAATTGTATTACGCCAGATCTGTACATTTTTGCGATATGGAGGTTGATAAAGCAACCTCTAAAAGCCACTTCCAATTTTATTATTAATTATGTATCATGACAAGGGCTGTATAAATAAACATCACTTAAATTGAGTAATGGAACACTCCACTTTACCTACATTTCAGTTTTGACATTTTTGAATCCATTCAGCCATTTTACGTGTCTGGTTGGAGCACTTTTAGCTTAGGTTAGCTTAGCTTAGCATAGATCATTGAGTCGGATTACACCATTAGCATCTTGCTCGAAATTGACCAAAAAGTTAGATAATTTTCCTATTTAAAGATCAAGTCTTCTACACTTACTTTGTGTACCATCGAAAAATGAAAAGTTGCTTTTTTTTACCCAATTCAATGATCTATGCTAAGCTAAAAGTGCTAACGTTCGGTTGAATTGTTTAAAAAACAGTAAAACGCAACTGTTGATTGTACAAAGTTTTTGTAAATTAAGCCTATTTTACAAAAAAAAAAAAAAAAAAAAAAACGTGGTGTTGCTTCAATTTAAGAACGCTTTGACATATTACAGAAATTGTAGTAGTGTCAATTTATTTAACACATTTTCTATTAGGGCTGTGCGATTAATTGCGATTAGCTTATCGCAAGAGGCTGCGATATGGAATATATATATGTATTATTTAATTTCCCCAACCCAGAGCAAATGCATGATTGCTGTCTATGTGTGATAGTCCAATTGAGTGAGCACACTTTCGTTCTGCCCAATCAGAACTTTTCAACCTGCCTCTTATCAGTCATTTTAGTTTGCTGAGTGTCTATTTTATGTACAGTTGAAGTCAGAATTATTCTTCTATCCTTTTGATCTTTTTTTCGTTTTTAAATATTTCCCAAATGATGTTTAACAAAGCAAGGAAATTTTCACAGTATGTCTGATAATATATTTTTTCTTCTGGAGAAAGTCTTATTTGTTTTATTTCAGCTAAAATAAAAGCAGTTAAAAAATTTTTTAAATCATTTTAAGGTCAAAATTATTAGCCCCTTTAAGCTATTTTTTTAATAGTCTACAGAGCAATCGGTCGTTATACAATAACTTGCCCAATTACCCTCACCTGCCTAGTTAACCTAATTTACCTAGTTAAGCCTTTAAATGTCACTTTAAGCTGTGTAGAAGTGTCTTGAAAAATATCTAGTAAAATATTTTTTATTGTCATTATGGCAAAGGTAAAACAAATCAGTTATTAGATATTAGCTATTAAAACTATTATGTTTAGAAATGTGTTAAAAAATCTTCTTTAAGTTAAACATAAATTGACACACTGAGGAAGGCTTTGTGCCGAAACGTCTGTTTGTCTGTTATCACCCGTAAAATGTAAGAAAAAGTAAGAATAAAAACAGTATGAAGCAATTGAGTGCGAATCATTACCTTCTTTTGAATAAACATAAATTGGGGGAAAAATAAACAGGGGGCTAATAATTCAGGGTGGTTAATAATCCTGACTTCAACTATATATATATATATATATATATATATATATATATATATATATTTTTTTTTTTTTTTATAATAAGCTACATTATTTCTTTTTATTTATTGAGCTTGTTTACAGTAAGGTACGGTCATTTTATCTGAGCATACTGCTTGCTGTAGAAAAAAAATCTGTTTAATGTCTGACTATTTAAAAACAAATTTGAGAAATTGTTGAAGTTAATATCTTTATGTTCCTTAATTAAACAAACAATAACTGCATTTTAGCAGTAAAAAGCTATGATACAGATTATTAAAATGAAGCTTGACTACATTATTAAATTGCGAATCAAGTCAAAATTGCAAGATCTGTCAAAAGAATCGCAATTAAATCACACAGCCCTGTTTTTTATGTTTAAATCTCCTTAAATCAGAACAGAGCATGCTAAAAAATATCAGTAAATTCCTTTTGGGCCTCGCATGAAAATGACTGCATTCACTTAAGTTGTTTCGTCCACTGTACTTGCGTGTCTTTAAATATAAATAGCGGTTAAAATATGAAACGGCGACTTTTGCATCTTTTTTTCCTTCATAGCCAGTAGTTAAGGCTTGTCTTATCTCATATTCAACATTCTAACACTGTTTAGATGTTTTAATGCGCCTTTCTGAACAAGGCTATGCTGGAAGGCGCTGATGTCCACTGAGATCAATAAAACCTCCATTCAGTGAGGGGGTGAAATGTCTTCTCTCTTTCTCACTAAACCCTTTTGGTCTTTCTCTCTCAAACACATACACAGACTAACACACACACACACACACACACACACACAAAGGGCTGACTGTTTTAGGCTTTTCATTCTCACTAAGGAATACACCAGAACATATAATTTGCATATTAGACCCTACGGATTGTACGTTGTATAAACATATTATGTAATACATAGGCAGCGCTGAATTTGGGTTCCCAGCAAATTTCTCAGGTATTTTTTTTTTACTGCTAGTTTGTGATCAATACCGGGTGGAGGACTGCAAGTAAACAGCACAACCTAGTGGACTCGTGCTCTTATTGCATTCACACCCTTCCCCTCTTAAAACCCAAAATACACCCCATCTGCCACAGATCACTCACACACACGAGCACGATTTCTCACATCTAGTTTCCTCGTTTAATAATAGCTCCTACCCAGATGTTAGTATAGAGTGGGGTCAAAAAAACTATACTGTGAATACGGTGGATATTAACACACACAAACATGACACGTCTGCTTTATTTCTTGGTCACTAATCAAATGTAAATACATTTGTACCAATTTGTTGTTGTTCTTTTTTAAACCCATATGATTCTTAATTGAACATACTCAAAGGATGTCAGCTTGAACAATTCCCAAAGAAGTTTTTAAAATGTGGAAGTGGGGAAAATAAAGCCAGAGTTATGAGTTTATATCTTGCAGTTTTGAGTTTAGATATTATACATGTTGAATAGCATTTTTGTTTATTGTAGGCTTTGTTGCTATTCTCACATTTAAGTTTATAACTTACACTTCTGACTTACTTTTGCCAGAGAATATCCTTAAACTTTTGACAATTTTTAGTTGTTGTTCTCACATTTCTTTCTTGCTTGTAGTTATAAGTTAAATTTATGATTGCAGAGAGAGCTCAAATGTTAAGAAAATGATTGCACATATTAAAACAAACTAACAGACTGAGCAAACATCTTCATCAGTTTGTCAACACACACATGCACGCATCTCACCATGCATGCAAATACTGTACAGAATTGACTACAAATAGTGCAGACGACAACAGAATTATGTGAACTTGATGAACACGACTGCTCCTTGATTAGATTTAGCTGTGTTTTCAGATTTGAGATTTGAGTTTTTGCTTATTTTAAAGTCCTGATCCTAAAAACGATGTAGGGATTTACCAAAGATTTCTGCCAGCCAAACAAGAAAAATGGGAGAAAGTCAAAGCAAAAAAAAAATAGTTTTACTAGAAAGACCAGGGAGATAAATATGATATTGAATTGCATTTATTTGACAAAAGTATTATTTAGCATAGTATAATTTAACAAAACAAAGCATTTCTTTAGTGGATGCCCCGTCTGTAGCTTTAAATGAAAGCTTGTAGATCCTATGGTAGCTTGTAGCCTACCCCAATGGACTGGGCCAACCTTGTGATGGTGGTGGGGAGGATGGTGGATGAACGGCTGCCTCAGTATCTGCAAACAAACAAACGAATAAATTAATGAATGGATTGCTCATATATTTATTGTGTCTTGTGGTTGAACTGATTGCAAAGAGTAATGTGACATTATGTATTCCTAGTAGAGTTAGTGTTCAATCTGAATTTATTCTGCCTAAAGCCCTGATCAAATCACACAATTTTGTCATGATTTCAGCTTGATTTCTTTGACGTAGGGTGTTGTGGGGATTCGTAAACAACAAGTGGGTGTCGTGACACGAGATTCAGTTGTTTCTTTTCGTGTCATGTGGCATAATTCAAGACGACCAATACCATGCTTGCGATGCCTCATGACACCATCGCAGAAAGTCTAGCATGTTTATTTTTTGCCCTGATATTCACGGCAAGTTCTGTCACGTGGGTGACACTACACAATAGGAGTACATAATTTCTCAGTTATATCAGCGGGTGCTGCCATTAATGCGCCGGTCAGGTATACAAAAAATAGGCTGCATATTTACTTATGGGTGGGTCTTGGGGGGAAAAGATCAATTATTGGTTATGCAAACTTTACCTTTTCTAAAATATTAAGGTGTTTTCAGCAATTTTATCTGATAGACTGGCACAAATGTGCAGACATCTCCATTCTCACAACAAGTTTCTGAGTTTTCTCATCCTTCCGACCGAGTTGTTCAGTGCTGCAATACTTTGCAAAAGCATTTTCTGCTTACTAAAATTTGTCATTAATAGTGAAAACTGTGAATATTATTCTTGTTTATAGATAACTGACCAACAAAAGATACATTAAAATTCAGTTAAAAATTAGGACAAACAAAATTAGTTTTAAAACATATTTTTTTGCCCCCCCAAAAAACTAATACGAATTACATTTTTGTATGTGCCCCTCCACTATATAAGGATTTAATGAATGCTTAACTGTGATTGTGTCACAAATTTCAGTTGTATATTTGCAAATTTTTTAATATGTCATTATTTTAAAGATTATGTCTTGAGCACATGATTTTTCCTTACTGCTGATATGCTTTAATTTTCTCCATCTCACTCGCGGAAAGTTCAGGCGAGAGAGTGTTTAATAAGCAACCCTGACAGGAAAATATACATTTAGATTTCAAAGAAAATATCTTAATATTAAAAAGGAATCATAAGTTTGATCCTATCCATGTCGTAACAAATGCCCTTAAATAATGTAGTTATTAGTTTTTAGCAAGCCTAATGTGTTTATTGAGATAAACATTAAAGCAACACTTGTGACTGCTTTGGAAAATAATGCTCATTGTAGACATCACGGGATGACAGAGAGTGAATGAATGTGTAGTCTGTTGTTACCCACGACAAGTCAAGATTTTATCAAGAGAAAATTACATAATCTGACATAGTGACTTTCGTAACCGACAATAAAAATGATGTGATCTGACTTGGGCTCTATAGCTATGTTTCAATACAAAAATTTGAATGAACTTTATGCGTAAAACTGGATTATCGCATAAAAGACGTGCGAATAAAGCTGTGTTTCCATCCAACGAGTCAAAGTGAACAAAATTGTCACTTCCTGATTAACTGCTGCTAAATATCAACAGTAAAAACTGAATTTGCTGCAGTAGGAGAAGCTGCGTCAATCTTCTCTTCATCTAATAAATGACTTGCGCCTCAGAAGGCAATCCAGACACACAGTGAACGCGTGGTGGCGTTTGAAGGTGTCAGACGCGATGCACAGATGCGCTTGATTCTGGAGGTCATTAATAATATAACACTACTAAACCAAACACTACTACCAAAACAACATTTAGAGGGTTTACAGTGTGCTCAGCCTGCTGGTTTATCCATTTACACACATTTTCTTCATCACATGACCTATTTTAATGCGCATGCTGGAGTTTGTGTGATAAAAGTGTTTCCATCGTAGTTTATGCGCATCTTTTCTTATCGAATAAAAAGTTTATCCTACTCAGTTATGCTCATGTTTTTTATGCGCATTTTTAAAATTTATGCGCATCATGGCATTTCCATCAACCATTTTTTATGCGCATCTCCAAAATGCGCATAAAAATAGGTGGATGGAAACATAGCTCATTCATTAAATTCATTAAACTCATTCATTTCAATGCACCATACAAAGCCTGATTTGTTGCTGCATCAACCAAAGCACAATAGCAGTGGAGTGTGCACTGCGATTTAAGTTCAAAATAGCAAATATTTCACTCTGTGGATAATCTCTTCATATTCTTTCACACTTATCCATACATAAACTGCTCCCTAAAAAAAAGCAAAAATCTGCTTAAATAATACGCTGACTGAACATTTCTATGTAGTATATTGTATAGTATATGTTCCTGCTGTTTGCAATAGCGCTACTGTGCTGTCATGGCAAAGATGCCTCTTGATTAGTTCACTACCAATAGAATATGATTCATTTATTGGCTTGTGGTTTTTGAAGTCAGTATAATCTAAGTTTTTGAGTTACATTTAAAAAGTTGTACAAAACTGTATTGTTTAATAAAAGAATAAATAATAACAATGCATTTTTGGTTTCAGTTATTAGCCAAGCACAACCAGAATTTTCAGTTCAGTTTATTTTTACAAACATTTAAAGAACAATATTACTGGGACTTTAAAATAACCCAAAAAACTCAACTCTTAAATCTCCAACAACACCACTTACTCTAGAAAGCACTTTTTGGGGTCACTAGCAGTGGTGGAAAGAGTACTGAAAAATCGTACTCAAGTAAAAGTACCACTACTTGCCTAAAAATGCAGTGCAATTAGAGTAAAAGTATCTGTTGTAAATATTACTCAGAGTATGAGTAAAAAGTAGACCTTTCAAAAGTACTCGAGTAGTGAGTATTATGCTGTATAAAGCTGATGCGTTTACATGTAATTTGTGTGTGTAATAGTAATATTCTTTAATGCATTGAGTTATTGCCCAGCAGGGTACAATGTCAGTCTGATATCATGTCGATGTCTTGTCCCTGCTGGGTGTTTAAGGACATTTCGGTCATCATAAATTAAACATTTGTCATGTTCTCATCTGTGACATGTATCTAAACAATCTCTGCATCAATGTGTGTAAAGATTTTGGACATATACTTGGACACTTTTAATGCTTCTAAACAGTTTTCTGCAATTATAAATCACTCATGTCTTGAGGTAGTTCATTAGGATGCAATTTTCCTTCTATATACAATTTGATCGGGCAGGAATCATAGGACTGATTTCTCTAAACGCCATAGACAAGAAAAATTAAAGTAGTGACTTCAGGTTGAAGGAAAGTAGTGGAGTAAAAGTACAGATACAGCACTAAAAATGTACTCAAGTGAGAGTAAAAGTACGCATTTATAAAACTACATAGTAAATTACAATTCCTGAGAAAAACTACTCAATTACAGTAATTTGAGTGTTTGTAATGTTACTTTACACCACTGGTTACTAGTCACATTTGCATTGTGGTCTGCACTAATTGCAGTGCACTTCTGTGTTTGCATATGTTGTGATAATTTGCATGTATGTGTTGCCAAATTGACAAAGACTTATCCTTATATTGTGCATGTGTTTTCTTGTCTTGCATGTTTGTCGGAATTTGTGTGCGCTTGTCAAATTAATGAAAATGTTTTCTCAATAAGGTTTTTTTTCTATTTGCATGTGTTTCCTTAAATATTATAATATATGAATATTATATAAATATAACCTCCCTATATTTCATAATTTATAATAAAATTATAAGTACTTTTTTCTATCATCTCTGAGTTTATATTTAGCATTTTGAGTTACAAGTCAGATAATTGCCTCAAACACTCAGAATTGTGAGATATAAATTCTCAAAAAAGAACTATGATGTTATAAAATGTAGTCTATATAGGTGTACTCACACTAGGCACGGTTGTCTTGAACCATGCCCAGGCGCGATTGTCCCCCCTCCCCTCTCCCCTTCGTACGGTGGCCGAGAGAGCTTAACGCGCTGCAGTTTAAGAAAGCACATGCAATTACAAAAAACACCAGCAAATAAAGAAACAATCTTTATTTGACGGACCCTGCTGAGATATGGATGTCATGTAATCAGAATAAACAAATAAACAAAAAACAACTCACCTTTCAAAGACCACCAATCATTTCACTGAGCAACAGTCACGGCATAATAACACATCCATATCTCAGCAGGGTCCGTCATGATTTTGGGTCCCCTTAAAACATTCCCGTTGTATTACGTGGATATTTGCAAGTGTCGTGACTAATTGCAGCGCGTTTCTTCAGTTGTTTGTGGTGTGTGTTTTGCTGTCAAATTGTTGAAGATTGTTTCTTTATTTGCTGGTGTTTATTGTAATTGCATGTGCTTTCTTAAATTGCAACGCGTTGAGCTTTCTCGGGCACCGTACCTTTGGGAGTACACTCACATAGCATTTTTTGCTTTCTGAGCCCGAGCACGCTTACGTCATCAATATTGTGACTGTTCAGTTTAACAGAAGAGAAGCACTCTCGCTCCGTAAAATGGAGATTTAGTTATGGAGCTTCAGTTACATTGTTTAGTATTATTTTAAGTCATTTGATATGCAGTGACACACAGTCAAATCTTTTTACTGAACAGATCTACCACTTTTGACTCTCGTAAATGTTCATGAAAGTCATGTTAGGAGGTTTGCTGAAGGTGCAGGGTTCGAAATTAACCTTTTTGCTTGGTAGCACCGGTGCTCCTAACTTTAAAAATTGAGGCACATTAGCCAAAATTTTGTCGCACCTACCAATTATGAGCTCCGTTACTACAAGTTTTATACAAACATATTTATTGTATTTGAAATCAACACTAATCAAACTAACAAGCAAAAAAAAAAATTAATACATATATGCAAGCGTGAGGAAAATATGTCTCAATGCAATCCCGTTATCACAAGAAAATACATTTTTATAACAGAACTGAGTGACCAAAGCATACACGGAGCGCTCACCGGCCCTGCACGCACTGCTTGAATGAATCTGTTAACGGTATAACTGTGCTGTTCTCACAAGTGCTGTCTGATATTGCACTGATGCTTTTGACATATACTGTATCTTATTATATGCATACATGTTAATAGCAATACCGTTTTTTTTAGGAGTAGCGATGTTAGTTAACTCAGTGCAAGCCCATTTGCGATGGTGTACGTGGTGTTAAATTTGACTTATAGCTGCCACTTGCACGGCGGACAGTATCTGGCGATTATATGAAGGATTAAACAGAAGCTCTCGTGCTAACGTTAGATGTGGCAAACAGTTACCTGAAAACTCCATCCCACAGACTTTTCATAGCGGACTTGAAGCCAATGGAAGTCTTCTACTATTGGAAAAGTGTAGATGGTGGATTAACATTCAGCACATGATCACTAGTAAGATGTGTCATTATTTGTAACTAGATGGTTTCTAAAACTAAATCTGTCAGTGTTATCTTCGTTCTCATCTTCAGCGCTTTACAATTTTTCGTGGTAGTAGCTCTCCCTGTCATCCGAAGCCAGAAGGCGCTGAGTGATTGACAGCTGATATTAACCAATCATTCTCGTTCAGTGCTAGAGCAGTGGTGGGCCAATAAGAAGAGCGCGAAGGCGGGGCAAGCATTACAGACTCGAATTTGTTTACTGCAGCAAGTTGGCATGACAACTGTTTTAAAACATTCCTGAGCACTGCGTTTCGCGTTCCAAGTGCAGACAAAGAGCTTAGAGATGCATTCTGCATGAATGTCTCTCGAATCCGCGCATGTGGTGAACAATTTGCAGTAAAAACTGGTCGCATACAACAATTTTAAGCACTCGCAGAAATGCTCCCAAATATATTTTAAGGTCGCATATGCGCCCAAAATTTTATCTATGGGACCTTAAAATATATTTGGGAGCATTTCTGCGAGTGCTTAAAATTGTTGTGTGCGAAAAATGGTTACAATTTCGAGCCCTGAGGTGGCAGTTGTCGTGCAGCGGGGAGATTGTATCTTTAATAAACTATGACGGTTTATCTTTGTTGAAAAGTGAGAATGATTAATAAATCCATTTAAATCAGTCCCATAAAAGTGATGTCACTTCTTCAGTTTCGGGCTCATATGCGCCTTGCACTCACACTACAAGCGAACCGTGCACTCGCACTCTGGCACACCTTTTTTCCAACTGGGCCTAGACTGGCCAACAGGGCCTGATTCGGAGCACTCACGCTCAAACAAGCCGGGAAATGGGAGTCAAATACGGTTCAGATAGCCTATTGTGAGTACACCCTAAGTATGTGTCATATTGATCAATTTATTGAAAGCAGTTTAATTTTAAATGTACGTTTTTAAAGCTGATGATAAGATTAATAATGAAAATTTGGCATTAGTTTAGAGTAAACAAGATGCAAAACAGAAGCATTTTCACTATAGTGGACGTTTGGACCAAACTGTTCATATCACACAGAGATTAAAAACTGCTGTTCAAAGTTTTGTGACCCATATTTTTATAATGTGTCTGGAAGAAGTCTCTTATGCTCACCAAGGCTGCATATATGATCAGAAATACAGCGAAAAACAGTTATAAATAGTGAAATATTATTACAATTTTAATATATTTTAAAATATAAATAATTCCTGTGATGGCAAGGCTGACTTTCTGACAGTCTTCACTGTCACATGCTCCTTCAGAAATCATTTTAATAGGCTGGTTTGGTGCACATGAAACTGTAATGCATAAATTCCTTTAAAGAAAGTAACACAGTTTTGAAATAGATTTTTTAAAATAACATCTTTCTGTCATTTCAATCAATTCAAGGCATTCTTTATGAATAGAAGTATTAGTTAAAAAGGCTCATTGACCACAAATATTTGAACTTTTTTAGTTAATTGCATAACGATAGTTTGTTCTGTAGACAATGGGAAAAAAATACCTAAGGGGCTAATAATAATGACCTTAAAATAAGAAATTAAAAACTGCTTTTATCCTAGCCCAAATCAAACAAATAAGACTTTCTCCAGAAGAAAAATATGAATATATAGTGCTCACCATATAGGAGTACAATTGTATATTTGTGCAAATACTGTACAATAGATTAGTCAGTTCCGAAGCAAATCTGGAGCTCATCTAACAAAATAATTTACACTAACAGTCCAAACATATATATTACCTTTTATTTTACCAGGAAAACATCCTGAGATTCTAATTTCTTTTTCAAGAGTGTCCTGGGCGAATAAACAATAAGCACTGAAGACTACACATCAAAATAAACCAATACAAAATACAATTAAATTAATACATCATTAGGCAGCGTGATTGCGCAGTGGGTAGCCCAAATATTTTTTTAAATCACAATATTTTTATTTGAGGAATTTTAAAAATATTGTAAGAAATTTATAGAATGAAACAAAATTTTAACATTTTTTACATTTTAAAACATTTTAACAAATTTTAACATTTTTGTTTTCAGCTAAGTGTTACTTTTATTCTATATTAGGTATTGTAGCTCTATACAATTTAGTTATATTATTTAGTTAGAATATATATATATATATATATATATATATATATATATATATATATATATATATATATATATATATATATATATATATTTTTTTTTTTTTTTTTTATTAAGTTCATCTTAGGTCAGACAATAAATTATACATAATATTGATACATAAAAATACGCACTGATACAATTCACCAAAAATTATCAGAAAAACATAACTATACACTAAAAAATTATATAAATAAAAGGTAAAATACTACATATACTGTATACACAAAGATATACAGACATAATATAACGTAAAGATTATTGTTCATAAATTATAACATTATATAATGGCTTAAGATAAATGTAAAATATAATAACTTTAACCAAAAGTCAGGATAACGGCTTTTTATTTGCTATGATTTAAAACATTTGTGTTATTCCACTTCAAAAGGAAAAAAAAAACCTGAAATGAAAACACTAGTGTTGTTAATAAAAGCATGTCTGAAAACATGGCATCTTTTTGTTATTTTATGCCAAAACATGTTCTAAATTACTTTTTTATTTTCAGTTTTGAAAAGGAAGATGTCTTCAGTAGTTTACAGTAGTTTACAGAATAAAACAAGAATTACATTTTGCTTTAACACAGAACTATACACGCTGTACATTGGACAATATAGGATCACTGTCTGTCATGCAGAGTATATCTCAACACCAAAAGTCTAATAATAGACGAAATTTCATTCCAGCTCGGTAAAGTGACAAGCTCACAGTAAGACTGTCATATTCAGGCAGATGTCTGTTGATCTCTCAGCATTAGTGCTAGAATACCTGAGTCAGCTGTTTTCAAACTAGGCTGAAAAAATCATAAAACAGTCAAATCCCAGCTGCTGCTTTCAGCGAGTGTGTGGAAGTTTGAGAGAGAAGGATTTAAAAGTGCTGTATGAAAGTGTGTGTGTGTGTGTGTTTAATGAGTTTTTCATCTTTCAGGAGAATCTTGTGGAGTCTGTCCTTCTTTCACCCAGCGAGAGACAGCTGAGTTTAAACTCAATCTGAACTCATTTTAGCACAAGTAAGTGGTTTGAATTGACACACATTAACACACACTCTGTCCATAACCTAGTAAACATAACTAGCTGCCTTCTAAGAAAGCATACTAACTATCATAAGTGACTGATTTGAGTTAGGTAAGAATAGAAGAAGAAAAATAAATAAAGAAGGTATTTGCCACTTTTTATCTCAAAACTCCAACTTTTTCATCTTTTTTTCTGAAATTGATTTAATAAAATGTTTATTGTTAATTTATTTGCAATTCTTACTGTATTTCATATGATTCTATCTCACAATTTATATCAGAACTGTCAGAATCGTGAGATAAACTCTAAATTAAGATTAAAGTCAGTCAGAACCATGAGTTTATGTCTCAGAATTCTTGGTTTATATTCCACAATTCTTACCTTTTTCCCCTTAGAATTGCAATTTCTCAGATTTCTGAGTTTATTTATTCTGGAATGTAATCTTAGAATTGTGAAGGGGTCAAACATCTGAATTATGTGTTTAGTAGTTTTGTATTTAAGTTATTTTATTCCTTGTCTGTCCTGTTTATTTTGCAGAATTTTGAGTGACAAAACTGAAAATATATAAGATATAAATTTGTGAAAATAATGTTCAGAATTTGGAAATGAGTTTCTTACAATCTGATTTCATATTTTGTAATTCTGACTTTTTTTATTTATTTCTCACAATTACTTGAGATAGGAACTCAGAATTTTGAAGAGAGAAGTTCAGAATTTTAAAATCTTGTAATCCTGAGTTTATATTTCACCATTTAAATTATTATCATTTTTTGCTCAAAAAAATTTTTTGCTCCCTATTTTTTTCCCAGAACTGAACAAGCTTATAAACTCTAATTTGGGAGAAAAACTCATACTTGGGACTTTTCTTACAAGCACAAGTTTTTATACTTTCTTGCAATTCTGACTGTCTGACTTTTACAGTATACTGTATGTTGCAATTTTTGTAATACCTTTTTGCAATACTGTCTTTTGTTTGTAATTCTGACTTTTTCTCCCAACTGTGAGTTTATCCCTCACAATTACCATTTAAAAGTGAAAATTACAATATACCCTCACTGGCCACTTTATCAGGTACCCCTGCCCAACGTTAACACAAATTTCTACACAGCCAGTCACATTCAGCGACTCAATGCATTTAGAAATGTAGATACTGTATGGCCAAGGTGATCTGCTGCACTTCAAACCGAGTATCAGAATGGGGAAGAAAGAACTAACTTTGAATGTGGCATGGTTGTTGGTGCCAGACGGGCTGGTCTGAGTATTTCAGAAACTGCTGATCTACTGTGATTTTCATGCACAGCCATTTCTAGGATTTACAAAGAATGGTTCGAAAAAGAGAAAATATCCAGTGAGTGGCAGTTCTGTTGGTGCAAATGCCTTGTTGATGCCAGAGGTCAGAGGAGACTGGTCAGACCAAGTAACCCCTTGTTACGACCGAGGTACTACAGTTCGCACAGGCTCACCAAAATTGGAGAATAGAAGATTGGAAAAACGTTGCCTGTTCTGGTGAGTCTCGATTTCTGCTGCAGCATTCAGATGGTAGGTTCAGAATTTGACATCAACAACATAAAAATATGTATCCATCCTGCCTTGTATCAACGGTTCAGGCTGGTGGTGTAATGGTGTGGGGGATATTTTCTTGGCACACTTCGGGCTCATTAGTACCTATTGAGCATTGTGTCAACGCCACAGGCCTATCTGAGTATTGTTGCTGACCATGTCCATCGCTTTATGACCACAGTGTACCCATCTTCTGATGGCTACTTCCAGCAGGATAAAGCACCATGTCATAAAGAGCGAATCATCTCAGACTGGATTCTTAAACATAACAATATCTGTACTCAAATGGCCTCCATAGTCACCAGACCTCAATCCAACAGAGCACCCTTGGGATGTGGTGAGACGGGAGATTCACATCATGGATCCGCAGCCAACAAATTTGCAGCAACTGCGTGATGCTGTCATGTCAGTATGGATTAATTTAGCAGCTCTGATGGCAAAAGGGGGTACTAGTAAGGTGTACCTAATTAAGTGGCCAGTGAGTGTATATGCGGGATATAAACTCAAAAGTCCAAAATTAGTTAATATAATAAATAACTTGCAAATCTGAAGTTATACATCACAATTCTGATTTAATTCTTCAAAATTGTGGCTTTAGAACTGGTCAAAATGTGTTTCCCAGTGATGGGTTGGAGCTGGAAGGGCATCTGCTGCGTAAAACATATGCTGTATAAGTTGGCGGTTCATTCCGCTGCGGCAACTCCAGATTAATACAGGGACTAAGCCAAAGAAAACAAAATGAATGAATGTTCAAAATGCAAGATTAAAGCCAATGTGTCTAATTTATATTTAATTTCTTCCCAAATTAGTCGACAAATGACTTCTAATTGTCTGCATATTACTGCAGCATATAATCAACATTTCTCCCACTGACTTGGATGCATTTTTTTACTATCGATAAATGATACATCCCTTAAAATTTGGCCTGAACTACATCCTACCAGAAGGAACCCAGTCATGCTGATTGACTTTGCAGAACAGCCTTTTGATGTACGCTGTTTTAAAAGGCAGCCTCACTAGACAGCTCACTAGGATTTGGAACAGAGCCACTCTTAGCCGCTTCAGACTGCTCCCCTTTATTTTACATCTACAAACGCCTCTCTGTATTCCCCAAATCCCTGTTTCCCTCGTCCTGTGTTCTCACACGGTGCTTTCTGAAGTAGCTTCTCTCTGACCAGCTGCTGTCAAGCCTCGCAGCAAATAATGCGCGCATGAATACTGTATATGACCATAAAACCTCAGCGGATTTAGCGCGTTAGAGTGCGTGTGTGTTTTATAGTGCATACACTGCTGCATTATTGAGAGCTACTCACAGAAGCATCCAACTCTTTCTGACACTGAAGATGTAATCGACTAAAAATACATACTTACCTCATCTCTCACTCTTCTGTCTCTCCCTCTTCCTCTCTATTGGTTTGTTTCCATCTCTCAATCTCTTCCTTTTGCTCCCTCTCTCTTTCTCTCTGAATATTTTCTTTCACTCCTTGATTCACTCCTTTTTTTCTATGTGTGTGCGCGTCTGTCTTTCTTAATGTGCTAAACTGGAGCTGCATTAGCTGCATTAGATCATTTTTCCCCTCTTCCTCTCAGCCGCTCAATAACTATCTCTTTCTTTTTTTCTCCCTCCATCTCTTTATTAGAGGTGCTGCTTATGAATCTGCGAGTGCATTAAAGTGATATATGAAGATAGTGTATTCCTCATACTAGCTCATCTATAAATAGAAGGTGCAAATAGACCACTGGTGAAAGCAGACGCAGCAGGGGTCGTCCTCCTTTGTTTGGCACAACTTTTGCTGTTGATTTTAGGCCATGATATTGTGTTGCGAGACTGTTGCTGCCCTCCTCTGGAGGATGATGTTTTAACATTTTGATAGATATGATAATGTGCTTTTCCTTTTGTCTCATGGCAGCTTCCGTAACTCTGACAAGCAGTATGTGGGACATTAAAAGGTAAGAACACCTTGATGCATTTAATAAGTCTGCTCTATACGTTAAAGCCAGTTTTTACAGCTCGTGTTGGCAGTTTGTTGATATTGCACATTTTATGCATTCAAGCATGTCTTCCTTACTGATTTCATGGTAGGAAGTGGGAAAGTTTTGCCATGTTGTGTCTAAAGATGAAGTAGACTGGCTAGAATTTCCTGCCTTCAGGCGTACGCCTAAATAACACTGGCCACATACTTGGTGCGGTGGAGCTACAACAAAATGCAAATGAGAGATTTGACTTGACAACTACTACACATGCTCTAATTTTCTGTACTAGTGAGATCAGGTCTATATATATATATATATATATATATATATATATATATATATATATATATATATATATATATATATATTATGTTATATTATATAAAACTATTATGTTTTGTCTGGTCTGTTTATGATGTGTATATTGCTATTTAAAAGCTGTTTAGTAAAGCAATGCTATTCTGATGCTTTTGATTGGTTCTTGTGTTTGAATTTGTGCAGTTTACGAAATAGAATACCACACATGCTTATTTGATAATTGATTTATTTCTTATTTGGGTTTATGTTCAGTTGAAGGCAAAATTATAAGTCATGTGAGTTCATCTCTGAATTTTGAGTAAAAAGTCAGAAAATATAAGAGATAAACTAGGAATTCTAGAAATAATGTTCAGAATTTGGACATGAGTTTCTTACCAATCTGATTTATATTTTATAATTCTGACCTTTTTTATTTATTTCTCACAGTTATGTCTTTTTATGTCAAAATCCACAGAAAATATCAGAGCCGCAAGATAAAAACTCAGAATTGTGAAGGGAAGTTCAGGTTTTTTGCTCAAAATTGAGACTCTGTTTCTCAAATTTCTACCAGAACTAAACAGATTTATAAACTGTCATTTGGGAGAAAAACTCATATTTGAGACTTTTTCTTACAATAACAAGTTTTTAGACTTTCTAGCAGTTCTGACTTCATTACTTGAAATTCAGTTACAGTATATGTTGCAATTTCGTAATACCTTTTTGCAATTCTGCCTTTTGTTTGCGATTCTGACACATTTTTCTTGCAGTTCTTTCTCATAAATATATCTCATTATTATATATATATATATATATATATATATATATATATATATATATATAATATTCAGGACTTGACATTAACCTTTTGGATTACCAGCCACTGTGGCTTGTTTCAAATTTACTAGCTACTTGCCATTTTTACTAGCCACAATTTTGTTCTTGGAAAAATATATGCATAAATATGACTTTGGCATGCTGATAATTACTTGATTTAGATTTTGTGTTATGTCCACATGCCCCCTCGTTAATTGAAATTTTTTGTGTTGTGACCTTGGTTAATGAATAGTTTTCTGCTTTCATAGTTTCGCATTGCAATTAGTTTTGTTTCACATGACTTTTTAAAGCTCAACACTAAGGATTTACCAATTTTTTTTCTCTAGCCACAGCCAAGCCAAACTAATTAATTTCTTGCTCCAAATTTTAACTTTTTATTCCTAAAAAAAACAACTGACATTTTAAATCTATACACAGCAGTCTGTCCAGGCTAAATGTCCCAGATCACCAGTTAACCAAAGATAAATGGAGAGTTAATCTCCTATTAAAGCAATGTTATAATAAATGATTATAATTAAACCACATTAACAAAATTATTGTAAGCAAAAGAAGCCGGTGAAAAACATTCTGTGTGTGATAATGAACGGATGGTCGCACACACACAACTAATGTTAGGCCCATTAATGATCTGTTCAAAGAATGGTTAAAGTGAAAGCGGCAATTGCTGCATCACATCATCTGTGCGTGCGACACTGTCGTTAGTGAGCCAGGATCACCTGTGTCTCACAGTGCGCCGGATCATCCTCTCATTCCGTATTCACCTGCTTTCTTTTGCTTGCTAGAACACTTACTGTATGAGTCGTGCTGCTTCATGATTCTAAGATCACAATTGCACACATATTGACAAACGGACTTAAACTAAAATTCTAATCTTTAGTGACAAACCAGCACAGGCAATTTTAAAAATTCAAAATTTAATGTGGCTAGCGAGAGTGTCTGTCTAACCCACCACAGGTGAAATCTACCTGCATTTGGCGGGTGTTAATGTTAAGCCCTGATATTATTATTATTCTTAAGTGATGTTTAACAGAGCATAGATTAAAATTTTTTCCAAAGTATTCCTTTTTTTTCTTCCTGAGAATGTCTTTTAGTTTGGCTTGAATGAATAAATAAATAAAGTTTGGCTGGTTTTACATTTTTAAAAATAATTTTATGGTCAATATTATTATCCCCTTTAAGAAAATGCACTTTTCATTTTCTACCCCTTTTGTCCAATGACTTGCCTAATTAACCTAATTACCCTAGTTAAGCCTTTAAATTGCACTTATGATAAATAGTAGTATCTTGCAGAATAACTAGTACAATATTATGTACGGTCATTGTAGCAAAGGCAAAAGATATTACTTATTAGAACTTAAATATTAAAACTATGATGTTCAGAAATGTGTTGAACAAATTGTATTTTCATTAAACAACACTTGGGAAATATTTAAAATCTATTACATTTTCACAGGGGGGGGCTAATAATGTGGTCTTCAATTCTATATGCTTTATTTTTTTAGTATGAACAGTTTTTTATAGAACTGTTGGGCGGCAAATTTTTCTGTTATGCTGTTATAGCTTTTTTTACTGTATATAATTTCATAGCTGAAAGTCTGGCAGTAATCAGTGGAGAGTACTACTGTATGGGGAACCCTGTCTAGGATAAATGTTTAGAAAAAGAATAAAAATGTAATCAGTAACATTAATAACTGAAAAGTTGTTGAAGCAGAAATGCTTTTGTGCTTGCTGGTGGTTGTTGTTGGTAATTTGATATTGATTTTACAAAACAGATCAATTACAATGATAATATCAAGTATTAGAATAATTACAGTGTACTGCAAACCCTGATAAAGTTTAGAATACTGGCCAACTCTAAACATTTAAACTAGTAAACTAAGAACATTTTAAACTTACCCAAAGATAAAGTTAGTGGAACGTCACAATTTAATTAAGTTTTACACAAGGATATACATTTCAATTCAAACAAATCCATACCATTGAGATTTACAAATATCCCATTACCTCAAACATTTACTGATAAGTGCTAGTGTTCAAAAGGACACATGTAAATACTAAATGAAAATACATTTGCTTTCATTGCTTGCAAAATAAAGCAATTTGAAGTTTTACAGCCCATCCTTTTGAACACATACTCTAATTTTACCCTAGTGATATCCCTACTGAAGTTTAAGATAACAGAAACCACTGTAAACATCGACACAACTGAACACTTAACACTAACACATCTGTGACTAGATTAAAAAGCAGGTGGTTTTTGTAATATATATCTTATTTTATACTTTGGAATATATAGTAGCTGTCCTTCAATGTTAACACTCTGCAAAGATGTTAATATTTGGTTTGTTTTTATGTTGATTTTACGTTGAACGTTAGACATTGACGTCCGCCTAATGTTGGGTTCTGATGTCAACCCAATTTATATTTCCAAACAAAATCCAACGTCCCCATGTCGTTGGGGTACAACGTGAATATGACATTATGTTGACGTCCTGTGTCTGCAGGGACAGTTGACATGTAAACATAATTTGTATACAACACACAAAATATCAATTACATGCATTGTCAATGAAAAAAAGATACAATGAAAGAATAAATAAAAAACAATAAAAAACTAAAATAATAAAGAACATTAATACAAACTTGAGGGTAAGATGTTTAAGAATCAATTACAGTATATAAATTAAAGTATTTACAAAACGACATAGTTCAGTTTGCTTTCTAATTTTCAGATAATGAAAATGTATTTAAATAATGACTAAATTCTTGCTAAATTAAAATAAAATTTATGACAAAACAAGCTTTTTTTAGTAGAGACAAATTCATAATAAATGTAACATTAATGGCAGCTGAGTGAGGTCAACTAGAAGGTGTACTACAGTACCTCCCATCAAATATGAAAAAAAGAATAATAATAATAATAATAATATATATATATATATATATATATATATATATATATATATATATATATATAAATGTAATAATAAAATAAACTAATTAAACTCTGTAATTAAACCAGTTTTCTTTGAGTAATTATTAAGTTATTATTCTCATATGCTTTTTTGATCTTTAATTGGCTGCTTTAGTCATGTGTCTCATTTTGTTGTCCCATGTCATGTGATCCATTGTGTTTGGTGTAAATATAGCCCTCATGCTTCATTTGTTCCTTGTCAAGCTTTATTTGTGTAACCCTGCTGTTGATAACTATTTGTCCATGTTTTATGTTTATGATATATATATATATATATATATATATATATATATATATATATATAATTATTATTTATATTAAGTTTAATCTTTCATTTCTAGTCTAGTCAAAACGTGTTTTTGTCAAGTCTGTTTTGTCAAGTATTTGTGTTAAACTTTCATTCAATAAACTGCACTTGGGTTCTAATGCTCACCTTCATTTGTATTTGTCTAATCCCTGCCTGTGTGTGATATACGAGCACCCTGAAATGGCTCGTATGACCGAATGGTTTTGATTCTGACATGGAATAGTTATAGAAAATCCAATCAAAACAGACTTGGCCAGCTGACCAATCAAAGCAGAGTTAATTTATGGAAGGGCGGGGTTTATAGACCTTAAAGTAATGATCTTAATCTCAATTCCTCAACAAAGTCAACCTCAACACTTCGATTATTTACATTTACATTTGGCTCAGCTGTGTTTGATTAGGGTTAAAGTAAAACTGTGCAGAGTGTGGATACTTGACTGTGGCCCTTCAGGAGTCAAGTTTGAGACCTATGCTTAAAAGGGATAGTTCATACAAAACTGAAAATTCTTTCAACATTTACTGTACTTACCCTTTAGTGTTTTTTTAGTTAAACACAAAATAAGT